TTCTTCATGAGCGCGACTGCGGGGTCCGACGGCTTTTGTAGCATCAACGACTCTTCGTTTTCGACACCGCCTGCGTCAGACACTATGCATGTCGTCGTCGTCATAGACTCTGGCATGCTGAGGGATGAGGTTGTATGGTGAAAATGGTACTGCAGGTTAGACACTTTCGGCCGCTTGTTGCGATTATCGGAAGATCGATACGTGGTTCGTCTCTTTTTCCTAGCCCTCTCAGCAGAACGCATGTCTTCATTTGAGTCTTAAATACGGGGCATATGTTAAATGAGGCTGGTATTCTTTTAATCAGAATAGACTAAGAAGACAGCGTTAAACGGTCTACTTATACAGAACGATGGAGCGACTGCACTGCTCCATATCGATCAGTACGGTCGTCTGAGGCTGCTTCTTACGTCGTCTTCTTTAGTTGATGGTGAAGTTTCGTGAAAACGATTAGTCATCCACAACACTCGATAGTTTCGGAACAAACCTTCTGGCCAAAACGACCGACTGTTGCTGGCGATCAACCACATTCGTGAAACGTTTCCACCAATCTACTCTGAACAAGGACCGTAAGAAATTACCGAGACGCTGATTCTGCTCAGTCACCGTACTGACCACATTATCTTTTGCGCTGTTTATGAGTAAACTGTTCTGTGCTATCTTTTGATATGGCCAGCAATGCACGAACGACTACACAATCACAGTAATCCTGCAAATGGGCAGATACATTCAAAGATGCAGTTATATCCAATTTCAGATTCACAGGAACATCGATATTATTTTGATTCAGTGGTAAGGCGGAAATCAGCTTTTGGCTGCAGTGTGAAGGACATCTTTTTTTAAAACACTCAATGACCTGGGCATAACCGAAACAGCCTAATAAACAAATTATAAAAATAAGTATTTAGTATACCCATGCTTAGTCGAATACAAGGTACAGACTAATTGCTCAGCTCGACCATGCATAAGAAAAGCGAAAATAAAATTTTACGTTACGAAGTGGTCATGAAAAAGAAAGGCGGGAAACCAGCTCGATTTCTTTTAGTACACGCTGCTCAGTTGAGATGCGTTAGAAAAATTTTACGATCCTTTTATTCCTCCCGTGAGAGCCATCTACATGCGGTCGAATTTATGATAGGAACGAACGCTAAAAATTGTAAATTTACATCTGACCTCACTAGGGCTCCGTGGATTCTCACGTTTTCACTAACGCAAAGTTTAAAAATCAGATAGGCATTAAAAGTAAATTACTGAGAATAGATCTAGCTTATGAGCGGGCAACTCCTGCACTAGATTGATTTGCATTACTAATCGTACCATTTAGTGAATGCGGATATAAACGAATTTTGCAACTTAGTGAAGACCAAGAAGATCACGTACTAGCAAAGAAACACTCATTCGTATGCAAACCTGTTTCCATTTTCGTTGTCGTGAAATTGAATGAGATCATAGTTCGAATCGAATTTAGATTAGCACTAGAGTTTGATAAGGAGCCAAGTATTTTTCGGATTGTCAATAGTACTCAAAGTAAAACCCTTATCCAATGAATGTGTTCATTTTCGTTACAAGGACGCTAGAATGAAAACCGGAAAAGATCATCAGAAATTACCCATTTTCTGGCACCCTACTATTCATGAAACTAATTCAGGACGCTGATCTTCATTTCCATGTCATCATGTAGGAGGTGCCTTATTTAAGAAGCACAGTAGACAGCGGCTACTTGGCACGAGAAGCAGGTAAATTCATTTTTCTTTCACATGGAGTGATACTTATAAAACTCAGAGGGAAGCAGAACGATCGACCATCGAGTAATTAAAAGCTATAATGTCAATTTAAACACTGGTAAACGTGCAGTGGAACAAAATGTGGTATTCATGATCAAAACCTCCATGGCACATACGTCTAGGGGTCACGAGCTCGTGGTTCCGAAGACGCGTTGAAACGCTGCACCCTGTTGCTGACTGAAGCGCTTGACGGGCCAACCGAACGCTCGTGTCCCGAAGGCTGTACTGCGATTTGCTGCATGACGGAACTTGGTCTGTGTCACTCTTTGTGAACACGCCTAGTTCGCGCCTAAAAATAATAATTAGTTAATAAAATACAATCACCCACACATCAACAATGTACCTTTCGCAGGTTTCGCACTCACAGTTCTTGTTGCCTTCGCCGAAGAAATCTTCACCATAGTAACAAACGATCTCGTCGCCCAACTTCATGTCCCTCAATACGCGAACGCAAGCAGTGTTCCTTCCGACAGATTCAAACTGGAAGCGCAAAAATAAGCAAAAAGCGAAAAAACTATATTCACTTATCAAAAGCAAAATAAATCATACAAACGAAATTCCAACAGCTCTCAAGTTTTACAACCCCACTGGTGAAATTACGTTCTATTACAGATTTTAAATCTATTCTGATGCATAGTATATCAAACACTTGGAAACATTTACCTCATTTACTGATGCAGTAACGATATCACTAAAATATGTATACACCGTGTTACACAGGAGCATAACTACTGACTCAAACTAACCTGAGGGAGACTTACAACTAATAGTTTTTTACTTAAAACGCTTCATGATATTCATTCATGCCTATGGATATCCAGCAGAATATCGGTGAATAAAGTAATGCCACTGAGTCGCACTGACCTCCAATTCTAAATTGAGCGTTTTTCGTTCAATACAATTTTGAATTAAAAGAAATGCAAATGATCCATTGAACTAATGCATGGGGGTATTTGTTGAAGAAATCGACTGTCAGTGGATGAGCTGAAATCCAGAGTATTGCTTACAAAATAGCAGTGCTCACTGATCCACAGTAAACATAACCAAGACTAAGGGACATTGCTGACATTTTCAACTAAATAATTAAATTATTTCGATAGCATTTACTGAACAGTTCGGTCGACAGTCATGGTTAATGAACGCCGCAGGTCCAAGCCACAACTGAGCGCAGTTCTTTCGGCAACTGTACATGACGGAGAAATCGTTTTTGCCCGGTTTAAGAATAGTGCTTTCTTCCTTGGCACTCAGTTCGCACATACAACCGACTAAAAGACTGATGCGTTCATTTTTGCGCCTAAACAAAATATGAAAGAAGGTATATAATATAAAAGACGACAATCCGAAAAGAGAAACTTACAAATAAACTTACCATGGCTTCGTAACGACGAGACGGGCCCCAAGATGTTTTTCCAGGCTGTATCTTACACAGGGGGCAATGCAGAAGCCCGAATCGCGGTCGAAGATCTTCAGGTAACGAAACACCTAAAATTACGTTATGGACAAAACATCCTCTCAGTGCTTAACAAACAGCATAAAACAACTTGACCTGTCGTGAAACTAACGTCCATTCTATGTCATGTTCAATGAAATGACACTTCAATGGTTCGAAACAAACGGATGCTAGATTTTATTAGAACTGTCGACGTTTCCGCGAAACTGAGTTTGCATCCTCAGAGCAAACAATGAGTTAGATACTGTAGCAGGAACCCTGATTTCGACCATGCTGCAGCATATATTCACCACTGCAAACAGGTCTGCCTCAAAGACATACGTTTCGTATTGTCCTCCAATACGCCTACGATCAGTGTCAGGTTCCGAAGAGGAAACCTTTGAATACATTTTAATTATATTTAGGGACATTTCATATATAAGCAAGACAAGTGCAGGTCCCTCAGTTCACCTGATATCTGTCAAAGACCTGTCGCGTCAGCATCTGTTCATTTGTGACCCGATGCAATCACTGTACTTTGAGGATACAACGGATACATCGTTGCTGAAATCTGCCAAGACGAGACTCCTGACGAATCAGAACGGCAAACGTTTAAAGACTGTACATGAGTACCGCGAATAAGGCTGATTTCAGAATGATATTCGTGTTTGCCATTATATACGATAATTCCATATCATACAGTTGGAAATAATTCGCTGATGCCAGTTCAATCCACCGATTCACTTCAACATCAGTGTTGAAATCGTTAATGAACACAGCAACGATGAGAGCTGAAATGGTCCATCTCGTTCATCGTAATACCGTATCACACTGTCCTAAGGCTGAAAGTCAGCGCGAGCGTCCATATAAACTTGGTCAGTGATTCACACCCTACGATGAGACTCAGCAGTTTACTTGCGGAGTCGCTCAGCATCGCAATATCACAAATACATAGACACAACGCAATCTGGGTAAGAAAGTACACAATGAAGGTGAAGAGTGACACTAATACTAGACACTTAAGGAAAACAAGTATTATGTTTTGCATATATGAGATAAGTCAAATACGGAATATCAAAACTGATCTGAAATAATTTCAAAAAGTCTCTTACGTGTTCCTTAAATTTTTCCAACTGTAGTCTCGATTTAGCCGTACGAGTCGTGCGATACCGCTTCAGATAATCCGTCTGTAGGAGTTTGTCGAAAGCAGCCTCATAGTCTTGGTTCGTCATGAACTCGTGAATCACCCGTTTGCAGTATCCCCTCTGTTGCCTAGAAATCTGCCGAAGCCTGTAATCCTTAATGTGTGATTCAGCAACACCATACACGACTACCGATCGCTACCTGAGGTTCATTTTGTGCGTTCGGAAGCCAAGGAACGGATCAACGATGACGCTGACCGCTTGGTCATCGTACTCGCACAGTTCCCATGCGGTCATACGATGTCCTCCACGCGAGGTCATCGTCGCCGTCCGTTCACTTCGCGTTTCTTTTCTCCTTCGATTATTCGTCACATTGGTTTTCGATAACAGCGAGACAGTCTCTGAAATTCTATACAAATGAATTACTTGGAATAAAACTTACAAGGAAGATGCAAAGATACAAAATTACACCTCTGCTTTGGTAGGAGATCGGCAACGGCTCAGACTGACTCGAACAATAAGCCACCTTAAAGGCAAAACATAAGCGGCATGCTAACTTGGACCGAACGATGAACACAAACCCTTAGAATCGTACGTAACAAAACAAGCGAGCAAGCCTTACCTCAGAACGTATGTGAGACACAAATCGCAACTTCTTTCCTTTCTAATTTACCCATGTGCTAAGCAGTCAACAATACTGGATGCCATTCTCACCATGAGAAATGGCACATGATCGATAGACGTGGAATGGAATGTTATATCACGCGATTTATATGCCAAATGCGAACTTACAGACTAGACGACCTACTTATGCATATATTCGGTTGCTACTTAAATTCTTGTTGAGCCAAACTACTTACTTACTCCAACATATACTTAATCAATCGTGCTCACACATAAAAACTTA